TAAAAAAAAAAAAGACAAACTTTAAAAAAAAAAAAGGGATGCAACCTGCCCGACATATCCAAAGAAATCAGCACTGGTAGAACATAATTACAAAATGGTCATATTGTAAACTTGGACCGACATCAAATTCTGGATGCGGCTCACAGTTGGAAAATCAGGAAAGTTAAAGAATCCTTTTATATTAAATACACTCATCTGAGGCCATGGTTTTGATGTCAGCAACCTCTGGAAAACGTCTCTCGCCAAACTATACAGAACGAATGATGATGATGTCACATAACACTCATCCAGATATACCTACACATAGAATCAAGTACACAGGAAAAAACTCTGTTACAGGACTGTAACACTACACACTTTGACCTCATTATAGAAGCCAATGTGTCGTCCTGTTCTAGAAACAGGCAGGAGTAGTCCATTAAAATCAAAACTGATCACTGTCTCAAATAACCTTGAAACACCGTATATTATGACAGTTGGCTAACTTTCATTTATTGCTGAGGTCTTCAGTATATCTTGTACAGTTGAATTTTAAAACCAACCTTTACATGATTCCTTGGTCTTTTTAATCTGAAAATATTAAAACAAACTTTAAAATGTTTATGAAGAGAAAATTTGATCAGCCTTATAGGCCAACATCTTTTATCAAGATTTTGTATATTTTTTATGCTTTGACCACTTTAGAGATAAAGCAATAATTATTGGAAACTGGACCACTTTCTACAATTTTTATTAATATTTTCTTATTTGATTTGAAAATAGTATCCTCTTGACTGTTGCTGATGATACACTGTGTATATTCTATATTTGTTAACACTGATACACTGTGTGTATTTTATATTTGTTAACACTGATACACTGTGTGTATTTTATATTTGTTAACACTGATACACTGTGTGTATTTTATATTTGTTAACACTGATACACTGTGTATTTTATATTTGTTAACACTGATACACTGTGTATATTTTATATTTGTTAACACTGATACACTGTGTGTATTTTATATTTGTTATCACTGATACACTGTGTGTATTTTATATTTGTTAACACCGATACACTGTGTATTTTATATTTGTTAACACTGATACACTGTGTATATTTTATACTTGTTAACACTGATACACTGTGTGTATCTTATATTTGTTAACACTGATACACTGTGTGTATTTTATAATTGTTAATACTGATACACTGTGTGTATTTTATATTTGTTAACACTGATACACTGTGTGTATTTTATATTTGTTAACACTGATACACTGTGTGTATTTTATATTTGTTAACACTGATATACTGTGTATATTTTATTTTTGTTCCTGATTGGTTGTCATTAATAATAATAACTTCCAATCAGAGTAATCTATGTACTTAGAGCAAAACTAAAAATCAACCTGGTCATCAGTAAAGGTAATTAACTATACTTTTGTTCCATTTCTAGTTATAAAGGTTAGAATACATTGTTTCATTTGGGTACCCTTGTTGTTAATATTATTTTCATCCAGAATCCTAATAATATCTCACGAGGTTTGACCAGTTTAGGTTAGGCTTAAAGTCATACGCTAATCTAATAATAATAAACAATAAATACAAAGTAATGACATTCGATATTCAAACTGGTATGACCAATACTGTTAATGAAAGTGAGGGTAAATAAGTAATACATTATATGTGAATAATTTGTAAGACTTAAGCCTTTACAGTTTTATGAAAGTACATCTCTAATTTGTCTTGTGTTGCACTTTGTCACTCGATAGTAAGAAGCTTGAGACCCATAATTTTGGTAGATATATATTTCTGAAAATAACTAAATCATTTTACGATATGTGTTGTAGGCCATTGGCGAGTTTGTTCTGACTGATCCAGACATGAGAATCAAACCACGTGGAAAAATTTACAGTATCAATGAAGGATATGCTTCTCTTTGGGACAAGACGGTGACAGAATACGTACGGAGAAAGAAGTACCCCGAGGTTGGTATACGATACTTTAATCATTTATTGAAATGCAGAACTATTTAAAACTAAATATCCTATCAGAGCTGTTCATGTACGAAACCCAGTTTTAAACTATCACTAGTGTAAAAGGAACTTGTTTTTTTACACTATAAATCAAAGTATTTCTATTATAATGATATTACACGTATACCAATACATTGCAAGGAAGAAAAGCTTTAAAAGTGTAAGATCACTACAATATATAAATGTACATGTTTTCTGGTTTTATTGAAGGGGGGGGGAGCTGAATTAATTGTTATTATCTTCTTTGATTTGGTATGATTGTATCAAGGCTCAAGATGTATGGATGAAAGGTTTCTTGAGGGAAAACTCGGATATTTTTATATTTAATAGAGTGGAAAACCATATGGGGCTCGGTACATAGGTTCTATGGTAGCAGATGTTCATCGGACAATCAAATATGGAGGGATATTCATGTACCCAGCAACTAAAGACTCGCCAAATGGAAAGGTATGATAGTTTTATCCTTATTGATAAACATATTAAAAGGTAATGTTATCCTATTGTTAAGCATATCAATATCAACAAGTAAAAAGATATGGTAATGGGATCCTTATTATTAAGCATATCAAGGTCACCAAATGGTACTTTTAAAAACTTCTTTTATGGAATGAAATCTTAGTGATATATTCTCCCTAGACATTGTCTAGTAGTTAAAAGTACCACCATACATGTTGGTAAGGCCTAGGTGGAGGACTGTGATCTGCCGCTTAAAATCCACCACACTTTCAGCTGTGGGAACATAATAACCACAATAATAAGAGTAACCATGTAGGTGGCAGGTGCTGATAACTGGTTACTCTCTTTCCAGCTGGAGGTACGGCAGCCAATCATTAGATATAAATTAGGAGTAGCTACAAATTAACCATTTAATCCCTGTGTTGTACGAGGTACTCTTTAGGTTCAATACTTTGCCTAAAACTTCCTCTAACATGGTTCAAGCACTAATTGTCATTATCAGTACTTGTTCTGTCTGTTGGGTCCTCACCTACCACACACACACACACCCATTATCTTGTCTGGCACTGCTCGATCTGACATTTAAATTGGTCGTT